AACTTGCAGAGGAAGGGAGGGGGTTATAGAATACTATTTTGTTTTATAACTTAATTTAAATGTTGATGTGTGATATAACTATTTTTGGTACAAATTTATTAGTCAAAGAGTGTTACCAATTATGTCATGTAGATGAAAGTTCTTAATTTACAAAAAACTGAATAGGAAAAAATGCGGTTATAGAGTAGGCAGGATATGGAATGTCATTAATTACTATGTAACTTGATATCGAATACACACATTTCGATACAAATGTAGTTCAATTATATCATTAGAAAGCCACATTCAAAGCTTCCAAGCTAGATTAAAGTTACAAAATGAATATCAACGTACTTTTCAAAATTACGTAAAAAGTATAGGGAAACTCCGGTATATACGCCGCGCCATATCTAACGAAAACTCAATTGATGAAGTATTATTATTCTATATTTAAGATAAATAAACTATACTAATAAAAACTTTATACTATGTTTACTATTATTAAAAAAAATATTAGGAATTTGAAATATTTGTTTTTTACATTAAAAATTTTTTTGTCGTATTTTCGTATAGAGAAATGTACGGCTTATGAAAAGTGACGTTTAGAAGTAAGATATAAAATAATACAATAACTTATAAAATGTGTTCACACGAAATTTTATTAAGGAATAAGAATGATAGGGTAGACCAGGACGAATCGGATCATTTTTTTTTTCATAGGTAAAAAGATAATAATAAACTAATTCTGTTATTAAGTTTTACTATAAATTTGTAATCTCTACCTTCAGCTTCAGTTTTATATAATAAAATAATATATAAACATAATATTTTTTATTGCACAATGCAAAAATCAAAAATAGGCAATTATCCAATTCGTTCCAAAATCAAAGATTAAAATCTTTGAATTCTTTGAATTCTTCCAAACTCTGAAATAAACTTGTTATATAAAATAAAAATAGTTTACTTAACACAAATGGTCCTTTTCTCTTAGCACAGCTTTCGCATCATTTTTCACATTTGTTGCATTGAATCCAGTCTTCGATAGGTAGATGGACAAATTTTTCAGTGCAATAAATGCAATATCAATCTACATAAATTGGATTTATTCTTAATCTTCAGTTTTACTCCTAATTTCATGATCTGAATCACTCCGAAAGAAGTTATCCGATTAATCCCATATGTCAACTTCATAAATTAACATTAACTTTTCCAAAGCATCTTAATGATATTATTAAACTATTTACTAGATTGATTTTAAAAAAACATTATACACTACAAAAAATCATTATAATTTACACATATTTTAACATATTTTTTTGTTATGAGCTCATAAAATCAAGATCGTGACTTTACATGAGAAACGAAATTTCTTTATGCCAATCACCTCTGCGCTTATATCGTCGATTGACATTGAATCGTAATATAAAATTGTTATTTATAAATTTGTTGTTTCCGCTGCAGGGGGAGCGCACGGAAGTCACTAGTATAATAAAATAGATCGCATGAAAGAAAAAGATAATGATAACTCTCAAAGCTTATAATGATCCGATTCGCCCTGTGATCCGATTCGCCCTGAATATATATACGAATAGATAATAGATAATAATTCTAATTTTTTGCATATATTATAAGTGTCATGATATGAGGTACATGTTTTATTGCATTTATTTAATGACTGAATCCAATCTGCGCGCTTTTTGCTTTGGGCATAAAATCCTGCTCGCTAAAAATGCCACGTATTCCAAACAAGTAGAATATACAAGATAATATCAAGATTACAAGAGCTAAACATTTTTATTTTGCTATATTCCATTTTTTACTATTCCTCTACATTTATGTGTCATCAAATAATCATTAATACTGCCTACAGTAATCATTTTATGTATAAGTTATGATATGATTGCGTTATTTACTATATTGACAAATCGACTCAACTGAGAGTGATTTTATTAATATTAACAGTAAAAAATTGAAATCATAACACATTACTAACATAATATAAAGTATATAATAGAATTATTACGTGCAAATTATCCCCACTCCTATTTTTTCTGATGGCATAAATACCGGAATTACTCTACACTTAAAACTGTCTGTTACATGTAAAACTAAGATGTAGCTTTATATTATAAACACTATTAACTAGTGATCATGTTACCTAAGCAGTTTGTAAAGAAATCATTTTGACGATTACCTCAGACAGAATGCAACGCAAACTGTACAAGATATCATGGTATTCCACAGCCCCTTACTTATTTCCGCTTTCTTTCCTTTATGTAAATAATTGCGCGAAAGAAAAATTTTGATTTATTTGGACTTATTAGTTTTATTTATTAAATATCAATATCAATTTGCATATCAAAGCTGTGTTCAATAACTTCGCTTTGAGTAAAAGAGTTAACTAATAGCTTGGTATTCATAAACGAATCATAGAATCATATTTATATTATTAAAGAAAAGAAGACATCGGAGCTGTATTAACATCTTAAAACAGATTAAAATTTAAAATACGAATCAATTGAATGAATATCGGTTCATAAATTAACTCTTTTATTTTTTTTTATTCAAAGTAATGTTTTGGAACATAGTCTAAAAGCTTTATTCAAAATTTAAAAAATTAATTTCTGTTATTTAGAATTATATTTTTGTGTTAAATGTTAAACTTTTTAAATTTGCACTTCAAAAATGAGACAGTCATGGTTTAATGTTGAGATTATAATATTATATTAAATGTGGCTAGATATAACGTATAGTAGATATAACGTATAGTAGATGATTTGTAAACACTAATGTGGATTTAAGATAAACATAATATTTCTTTTATGTATTAATCGAGAGAGTCATATTTTATTTTATTTTATCAATTCATTATAAATTAACATACTTATTTTTAGCAATTTCTCAATCATGTATGCATAAATGTATAATGTATGCATAAATGTATAATGTATGCATAAATTGTTATAGTCATTAGCGATGGTAGGTATTAGCATTTTCTAAAGATACGAAATCGAATTACAAACCGCATCGAAGACGAGGGCATCGGATATTTCTCTTAAAGAGTGTCACGCTCATGTGTCATTATTTGTTTGGTGACATTGCATCATATTTATTTATTACGCCACCATTGTCAAACGTACGCATCAGCCGTTTAAGAAATCTTCTTTTCCGCAGTAAAATGTTGAACGTTCGTTCGAGTAATCTTTTATGATATTTTGATTATTGAATATCTTCAGCCGTCGAGCAAAGTCAGTCTAGTCATCTACCGCGCAGAATATTGTATAATATATTCCAGACTTATTAATAGCTGTCTCAATAATAAATGTCAGTCTCATTAATAAAAATATGGCGATTTTGCGAAGAGACAAAATCCGGATGACTTCTCTCTGATTATTAATACCAAAAATTTTGTTAGAATTAATTGCAATTGATTCAAATGTTTATGATAGGATGTTCCATTCTGTAAAAAAATCGATCTTCTCAAAAATAATGATTTTAAACCGATCTATTTTTACGAAAATTGATTTTTACGAAAATTGATTTTTCTAATTAAAAGGGACTATTTTAAATTGATTTCTTTGTAAAGATTCTTCTTGTAAAGACTTCTTTTTAATTATTTTGAAGTAATGTTTTTGTAAAGAATTGATTTTTAATGATCCGAAAATCGCACATCTCTAGTTTATGATTGTGAAATAACAATTTTTGTTTTAAGAAAATTATATTTCTTAAAATTGTTAAAACTTTAAAAAATCATATTATAGTCTGATAAAAAGCTAATTAATAACCCTTTGAGGATCGAAGTTTTCTAGCAAATTTAAAAAAATTTTGTTAAAGAGATCAATAAAATTGATTTTGATCATAGAATTTTTAAATTCCAATTTCAAAAAACAATTTGTTTATTATGAAACTCACTTTTAGGAGATATTATACCTATTTGTAATTACATGGATAAATAAATCTTCATTGCATTCATGTAAATATTCAAAATATTCCATATTTTTAATTAATGGTCCAGAATATTTCTATTTTGAGTTTAACCACATTTTCAATGTTCGATAAAAATATCGCAATTACGCTTAAGTACATCATATTGGATACAGTTATCTTCTATTGTATTTGTTATATTGTACAGAGTTATTTATTTTAATCTTAATAGGCAAATATTCCGAAAATATGCAAATTTGCTAAAAAAAACACTCCAAATAGAAGTTGCATAAAGGTCCATAAAAGGAAACGTACGTGTTATGACCTCTTTAATGTTGCAAAATCTCAATAAAACGTTACTATGAATGTCTATTCTTTAATATTCTGCGATATTCACCATCAGTGATGCAAACTGAATTTTTATTCACTTATGATCGTTACTTATGGTCTCAACATTAATGTATTATTCTATACGACATTTGAAGAAACATTTATGATGACAACGAAAGTATTAAACTGAATTTTAATTATTTCTGGTTGTCGTAAGAAGGAAGAATTAGTGTAGTACAGATTATAGTTAAATGTATTTGATGGATCTTTTTTAATGGATCTTAGATGCTTAAATATTTTTATTTAAATTTATAGTTATCATTTTTTAACTGTCCGCTGAATTGATTTTTTGAATTTAAAAACGCAACTGAAACTTATTGTAATAATATTGCAAATTGACAAGCAATTTAATAATTTAATGCTCAATTGGCAACACTTTAAAAAGATTTTAATGTATTGAAAAGTCCAAAAATAAATTCGGCGCGCAGTTCAAATGAGATGACTTCATATGTAATATATAAATTCACAAATAAAATATTTAAGCACCTAAGAGTGTTCAGTTTCGATCGTTATAGGCGTTATTCCTTACTTGTTGTGATGTATTTATATTATACAGTCTTAATAAATCGTTTATTTTTGTACCTTTTTCTATTATCGATATTTTACTTGTTATCGAATAAATGAATAATTTTCCATCTTTAAACGTAAGGTTATCTCGAAATGTGTAAAAAACATGTTGAAAAAACAATGAATAATTTTCATTGCAGAAGTCTGCGGAGAATCGCCCGGCATGATGAGCCGGAATTCAGCAACGCCAGTATCTTGAATAGCATGGAGAAGTTCGTGCGCACCGTGAGCGAGATGGAGGACACTATCCTGGTGCCTAGCCGTCTGCTGGATCTATCCGTGGGTGATGCGGGTGATACAATCTGCATGAAGGGCAAACGCGGCTGCACGGTGAAGGACACCCTGGCCAACACCGACCTATACCGTCTCTACAACATCATCAACCAGATGAAGATCGAGTTACTGTGGTCACAGGAGCCTACGCGAGGCACCGTGGCGGACGATCAAACGCCGATTAAGAGTCATCCGATTGGTAGCCCATCTGAACTGACGCATCATCAGACTATAAGCAGTGGCAGACTTGGCCATGTACGTTGTCCCAGCACCACGTCTATGCAGAGTGTACAGAGCGCGTCCTCGATCGCCTGGACCTCCGACTCGGACTCTGAGAACGGCATTGAGATTGACAGCGGTCTAGAAGGTGAAGAATGCGTAGTCGATCTAGCAAGCATCGCCGCCGAAAACTTTAAGCGTCATCTGCGTGGTCTTCACAGCAGCATCGCCCGTATGACAGAGGCAGCTGAGTATCTGACGTTGCGGTATCAAGCCGATGTAGGTGGGCAGGTCTGATTCTCCGCCGGTATCATTATCATCACCATTGTTGTCGTCATCGTCGCCGCCCGTGCATCACTGATTGTCATCATGTTAGTTGGCATTGCGAACAAATATCACGTCGTCACTTTGTAATCGATCTCATGGACATAGCCGCGATTTTCGATTTCCCGAGATTGATAACAGAATTTCAGGAAACGCTGATGATGAATCGCAAAAGATTTTCTAGCATTAAACTAATCTGCATCAATTTGTTATTTTATTAACGTATAATTTATTGTGTTAAAATACGCTATTCACGCGATTTATATGAATGATACGTTTCGATAATGTATTTGGGACGCGCGATATGAAAATAAATTGTCATCGGATATATAGAATTCCGCATAAATAAACTATTAATTCCCAAATAGAATTGAGAAACTATGAGATATCTCGAGGTACTCGTGTATCATTTTTGGCATAGCATTATGGCATAACATTAGAAAAGAAAACCGACTAGTCCAGGCTTTGGTTTTCCTCATTGCCATTTGCGCGGGTTCGAGTTTTAACGATGGGTGTTACCTGCCGTTAGATGAATAGAGGTTTTCGAGATAACATGCTGCATCACAAAATGTTATTAACATGGATAGTAAGAAGAACGGATAACTCCATCTTGAGAGAATTGGGATTAAAGAGATTGAGAGAATGGGAATTAATACAAATAAGTGTTTACTTTCAACTATCCAAATGTAAATTCTTAAATTTTTCAATCATCTTGTTAGACGAGATATTATCGAGAAACTCTCGTAATCCAAGAGAAGATAAATGAAAAGCGACATTTCTCGATTCGATGTATGATTGACTAAATAAAAACTTTAACGAATACGCCGCTGAAGGACATGATGCACTTAGCATGACTTAGCGGAGGATTGTGAGGCGTGGCAGGTTATCGCGCTCAGGACTGCATGAAAAGTTACGACATTTGAAAAAACTGCAATTAAGAAGATAGAATTATGGAAGCTAATGTCTGCTTTTAATAATATAGTTTAGCACTGGCAAGTCGAACAAAATGAAAAGAATTTAAAATCAAAGATGGATGTGATTGTACATCGTTATTAATCTGGGAGTAATCGCGTACCGGTCATTTTGCCGTACTTTTTCGTTTTCTATTTATATCTTTCAATTTATTGGCACTATTATATTTTTACATAAATGTTTGTTAATGGTTTTTCGTATAATATGAGAAAATAGATGACGTAAACACGCTTATATCTACATAAAATTTGATATGTTTATAACGGTCGATCTAAAAACCGTAGCGACTTATGTTAATGTTTGTCATCTCCGCCAGTCTCCCCCATTACTATATTTTTATAAATAAAAAATAAAATTATTATAATTTTCTTATTATTTCGTTACATATATCAATAATTTTAACAAACAAAAAAAAAGATAAATTAAAATAAAGATGTATCATATAAATATAATTATTTCCAGTAATTATTACATTCCTTTGTTTTGAATTGATTAATATAAAACATTATCAGAACGTTTTCTTATTAATTATTACTTATAATAATTATAATCATATGTATTCTAGTTATAATACATATATGTGCGAAAATATATTTCGGTCAAAATGACCAGGACGCACCTACTCCCGAATCAGTGTGAACAATTTTTTCGTCATTATATTGGAGCACATTGCGTTTCTAGTAATAGATTTAGATATTACATGTGTGTTTATACAAGACATGAGGAAGATGAACATAAAACAAAAATATCGAGGAAGATACGTTTAATACAGGAATTATATAGTTTAGATCATTCTTACGTCACACATACACACACTATTCTAGATTACATTTTCTCAAACAATTTTCTTTCGATGAAACACTGTGTTGTTAAGAACAATTTTTTATTTTACACTATGTCTCTAGTTTTGTATTTAAATAGTTACAATTAATTTAAATTTGATGTAGATGATTTTAGTTTATATTTATAAAAAAATTCAGTATGGAAATATAAATTTCATATCAATACAAGAACTGTTAACAATATGAAAAATAGCTAAAATAATTTTTTAAAAATAATTTATGAAACAACGTTTGGCGTTTTGTTATTCTATGGACATAGATTCTACAGATATATACAGTTATCATTTAGTTTAAATAAATATATAACAGATCTTATTCTCTAAAATAAACTTAAACAATCGATTTTTTGAGAATATAAAAGTATTGTTAGACATGTGGAAACATTTTTAAAAATAATATTTGTAAATTGTATGGAAAGAAATGAGATGAAATTGCGAAATAGTTCCTGTATGTACTATTGTTGGATGTTATTTTATAACATATGCGATTTATTGTAACATAAGTCATGACTAGTGGTTTGTAATTAAAGTACCGAATTACCTCTGAATTATTGTAAATATTGCTACATCGAAAAAATGAATGCATTTTGGCGGCTGAGTAAGATTGTACAAACTATACGTCATGGAATTTGTGTATACCTATGATAAAAGCTGTTGCGTCAGTTTCGCTAAAATATCCTTAGAGTTTTCTCTCCACTTTTAGACTTTTGCTTTTGCGAGTGAATTGTTGATGTTATCGAATTGTATCTGATACTGCGGCGACGATCGACATTAGTGTATATATATATATTTAGCGCTCTACGATTATTTATTACGTAATAATAATAAGAGTTTAACTTTTAAGTTGCACAAGTTGTGTATACTTGTTCGCTGTAAATCATTTCAAGTCGTGGTTAGAAAAGAACGATACACTTATCGATATGTTTCTAAACTATTAAAATTTGGAACGCAACTGGAACTCGTAATCTACAGGTTGCAATGTACATAAAGCCGGTGAGATGCTTTCCCGACGCGTTGATCCGAATGATAGTGAATTTTGCACATCGGATTTGTATAGTTTGCGGTTAAGGATTTTTAAACTTTTAAAGTAAAATTATAGAAAACAGTAAAAAAAAGAAAAAATATAGTGGAGGAAAATGGTTATTATTATAACAGTTTTCGAACAACACAATTATTTCTAATAAATGGTATAACTTTTAAAAGATATATCTTTCTATACTTATTTATAGATATATTGATATACTTTTGCTTCATATTCGTGTTCTGTTGAAAATCTTTGCATTCGAGGCGAGTGGCGCGAACTTTCATTTTTATTTTATGTTTTTCTTTCTTTTGTATATATTTTATGTATATATAACATAAATTATAGATACGGTGCCATATCTGTTGAAACTTACGTTTTAACATAATCTGCATTCGCGAGCCGTGCAAAATTGTGGAAACCTTAAACGTCTGATACCAAAATTACGACTAGATGATTCGGATTGTATATATTGCGATTTTGTATTGCGCCACTAATTCGAAATTTTTTGAAAGGTGTTTTTTCCTTGCAATTTCTTTGTCTTCTTTTGTAGAATAAAAGGGAAGCGTTTCAGAAAAGGCTTTTAAAACATTTAAGCTTTTCATAATTATGCAATTGACTCGCTATGCATAGGTAAATTAAGTTAAAGATTAAATTATATAATATTAAGGATGATTTTTATATTCATTCCATTTCGGAAATTATATACTTTTATGCTTGTTCTAAGATACAATATCTCAGGGATTTTTAAATAGTAGCATACCAATGTATTGATATACTCATTACTATTTATATATTGATAAATTAACTAAAAAAAAATTAAAAAGAATATCTAGAGGCACGGTAATGCTAAACAAGCGAAACGTCATGGAAATGCGCGCGATAGAAATTACTTCAGAATTCTCTATAAAATTTTACTGATAAAAGTAAGTCAAATTGTTTAACAGCAAAAAAAAGACTCGTTGCTACACTGGTTGCTACTCGTTGCTAAACTACGTAAAGAGTAGTTAAACGAGTATTTAAGAATCTCTGAGATTGTATAAATTATGATTACGTATGGGTCATAATTAACACGCGTAATAATGTAATTATTAAAATACAAATACCGTGCTGCGATAACGATTTATTCTTCACGTGGAATCATAATCGTTAAAAAATTGGCGATGTTAATTAGAATGTTAATAAGGAATATTTGATACTTGCATGCATTTATATGAAAAAGAACGGAAGTGTCTAAGCGGAATATAATTAGATGTTTATTATACCGTTACAGAAATGAGACATTGAATTGTTCTCAAGGTTTTAAAAAATGTATAAAAGAGAATCACTTTATAATTTGTTTAATGTTAATATGAAATTTGTATTTTGAAAAAGTTCTTTTTTGCATAATTAAATCCATTATGAAAACGATACAATTGCGATCTTCGTATCATATTAGGTACATTTGTTTACGCAGCGGTTAGCGCAGAGAGTATCATTTAATCCTTGTTTAACACTCGGTGAACAACAAGGTAAAGTAATATTTCTGCGCTAACCGCTACGTAAACGAATGCAGGGATAGAGACATTTGCTATGCAATCGAAATATTGTCGCATATAATATTTTGTGCTTCAATATAAGTGTCTTTTAGCTTTACGCAAACGTGTTTATTAATTGCATTAGAATTAAGGTGTACATGAATTGCCTTGATTTTATATCGTTGTAACTGTTATAAGTGTAATATTAAAAATGCTCAATTCCTGCAAAATACACGCTGGCTTTAGCACACGCTATTGTGATGTGCAGATTAAATGAGCACATGATACTTGTACGGTATTTGTATATCTGCGCACTTGTATAACCTTGTAATGGTAATAAATTAATTACTTCCAAGCCTATTGTCTATTCTGTCTTATTATACATAGCCAAGCACATAATTAAAAAGAATCAAATAGTATTATATATCAAAGTGATTATGGATTCCTATATTCTTAATCTTCTGAAATTAACGAATCAATCTTCATATGTTCTTATTGTTTGTTTTTGGTATGTTAATGTGTGTGACAAAAGAAAATTTATCCTTTTAAATCCAAAAAGAGAATTAGTTTATGTAAAATGCTTTATTACAATAAAATTTTCAAAAATTTCATATTAAAGTTACAAAAGTCATTGCAAGTATACTAAATTTTTATCATTAAATTATTTATTAATTACTAAAAAAATTAATATAAATATTTACTAAATTAATTATAAAATGATTAATATAAAATGAATTAATATTGAATTATAAACTAATTATTCATACTTATGTTTAAAAATTTTTATGTCAATAAATGTCAATAACAATATTAATATTTTTCTCAATTATTACGCTCTTAGCGCTTTACTCATAATTACGAAAATTTGACAGAGTTTGATTGAAGTAAAAAGAAGCCTAACAGTAAACGTGTCTATGTTTTAGATAGAACTCACTTACTACTTACTGGGCTCTTCCATGTACATAAAATGTGTACGTTAAACTATGTAACTGTGGATATTTCCAGCGGATATCCATGGTTTTCGATTTTGTTCCGCATTACGTACACCGGTTTGGTTCTATTCATTGTTATGTCCACAGAATATAATTGCTTTATAATGCATTATAAAAATATTAATTAAAAATTGAAGTTTAAATTTAAAAAAACATTAAAAATGTAAAAAAGCATCAAGAATATTTTAATACTGTTTAAAAGTATTTATTAGTGCAAAACATATACTAAGAAAAAATGCAACAGAGGAAACCAAATTTAATACCATTGTTTAGATGTTCATTATAAAAAGCTGTACAAATTGTTCTAACTTTAGATTGTTTTGACCGAATATAATTACGATAAAAACTTTGATAAATTTTCCTATGCAAACTATATTTTTAATTTAAGAATTTAAATAAAATTTAATTCGATAAAACGGACTTACCTGTAGTAGAGGCTTTCCACCATCTTCGATTTAAATCTGCAGTTCTTTTTTAGTTGCATAAAAATTTTTTATTTTTTCATTATTTATTACTTTACATAAAATTATTTTGAAATGTAATATAAAGAAAATATGTTAGAAACATATAATTTAATATAACATGATAGATATTATGTAATACACTATAAAGTAAAATATAATATAAATCAAATTAAGATATATTACATTTCGTAAGCAATTTCTTTATATATTATACTGTACTGTTTTTACGGAATATATTTGCAATCGATGAGCCATTAGCTTACTTGGAATTTTTAAGTCTTATATTCTTAATTTTAAGTTATGAACAAAATCGAGCAGAGACAAATTAATGTATAATAAAAAAATTGTATGATGAGTCGTGATTTTATATAATGTACTTATATTATAATATTTCCTTTAAAAACATTAATAAAAATATGTGATTTTTGAGTTATTATCATGAATAAATTATGTTTACTATAAAAATTATGTTTACTATATTGAAATATGCTTCCATATTTGTGAAATGTTTTAATGCCAGGCAATTTCTTTCCTGATAATCGACAATTATGCGTATCTCTGCAAGGTTTTTATAATTATCTGATGGCTCAAAAAATAAATCGAAATTTAATTCGAAAATTAATCGAAAACGTTATATTTATATTTATTATATTTTTGAATCTCTTAACTAAATTATTTCTGCGTCCTGACAATCGCGCGTGACTTATATTTGTCATTTTTATCATGATTAATTACTTGTTATCATGAGAGTTAGGGTACGTTCCGTTTCACGCATAATGTGCATGATATAATATTTTATTCTTTTTTAATATTCGATAAACAACAAGGATAAAATGATGCATCATGTATGAAACGGAACTTTTAAGTAAAGATAACTCTATTAAAAGTAATCTAACGTAACTTCACTCTTAATATGATCGCCAAACAGCATTGTGTCTTTTTTAAAGTTTTCAAAGAGATTAATATCCATAAGATTATATCTTAATTTGATTTATATTATATTTTATTTTATAGTGTATTACATAATATCTATCATGTTGTATTATATACGTTGTATTAAATTATATATTTCTAACATATTTTCTTTATATTATATTTCAAAATAAATTTTATGTAAAGTAATAAATAATGATTGGATATTGGATATTCAGAAAGAATATGTGACATCATATATTTGAGATCCAGTTAGATATTGATGGAGTCATTATCCATCCGAATACCGAATATTTTTCGGATATCGGTGCAATTTCTCCATTCTATTAAAAAAAAAAAAAAAGAAAGAGAAAAAGGAAAGCAAGGAAAAGATAGCGATAATAATTTTCTTTGTCTCTCTTACGTGCAAAGAAAAAGAGGAAGAATGAATTGTGCAAGAAGTTCAGCTGAAAAGAATCGAATTCTTCATCAGTGACGCAAATTTTCAATAAAATTTCAATCAGATATACATATATAGCCGGATGCTAATGATATTCGGTCGGATAGTAAAAAAGCCGGGATAAGACCGGATATCGGATACTTTCTGGATATCCGATCTTTAATTGCAAGTAAAAAATTAATTATTGTTTTAAATGAATTAATAAGAGAATTGACTGCACTAATATTATGTTATAAAATCTCAAATTTTTTAGGCATAATAATATTATATATATAATATAAGAACATTATACACAAGTCATTTCTATGATATACTAATTATCATTGTTAAAAAGAAAATAATTAAAATTATCTCAAAGGACGCCGGCACATGAGCAATAATTTTAACTTTGCGTTAATTATTGCAAGTTATTGTAAATATATGATTTGTGATGTGATTCATTTATACATACTTGTCCAGTTGTTTGCTATTTTCAAATTATAATGAAAATCTCTAATAAATTTTAATGTTTTAATATCTTAATAATGTTTGCAAAATACAGTTCGCAAGAAATAATGTTTAAAGAAAAAAAAAATGATAAAAATGTTTCTACGGAGTCTTTATCAATATACACATATGAATAATAAACTTCGATACAAGGTCAACTATATTAAACGAGTAAAAATTAGGATGACCGACAAAAATACATGTTTTGTTATTCTCATGAAGAATTTTTACATAAATTTTACATAAATTACCGTAAATTCTCATTATTCTCGCACTTGTAGATTTTGATTTCAAAGCAAGGACCAACATAGAAAATTTTTGATCGCACGTATGAAAGAACGCGAGGGAATTTTCATTTCGGAGCATTTCTGGATGTGGGATAATAATCTTAGACATCGCTCTCGCACATGTAGATTTTGACACAAAATGCAGAGAGAAACGTAGAAAATTTTTGTTACACATACTTATGAGAGATCGTTAATTGTCTATCTATTTAATTTGACTTATTTTTAATTTTCCACAATCGCTCCAAACTTTAATCACACACAAAAAATGACATTTAATTACGTTTCTAAGGATATATATACTTTTATCGATCGGATTGTGGTAGATTTTTGAAGATCTTCATTACTTTGTTAGGATCGCCGTCAATTATGCAATAAATTTTGTAGTTAATGAAATAAATTTAGTCAAATATATCCAACAATTTTATTACAAATAATTTAGAATCCAGAAACCTTTTATTTTAAATAAGTTCTTATTGTAAAGGATTAAAAAAATGTAATTTTAACATTAACAATAGGTATATGTTATAAATACTTATTACTTTCCAACCATGCATATATTTGCTTACATAAATATGTAAGTAACATTATATATGTATAAGATAGTATAATATTCATAATATTTAAACTCGGAAAAAAGTATTAGGTGTTGGAATTAATTCGTAGCGTTTTTGCATAATTATATGTAAAATATGTTAATTTTATATAATTATATATATAATTATATATAAATACAGAAAATTTTATTGGCGGTGTATTCTCATACAAACATAGTTTAAAAATATTATTTTAATAAGATGTACAAAGTGATGTCATGTACTATTATCGAGATATATTCATGATTCGTTTTAAAGACGCATTGAATAATTATGGAATATTTAGTACTGGTAATAGAATCGGTTTTCATACATGATATAGCTTATGATCTGAAACAAAAGATATCGAGAGTAGTTGTAATTGCTTACTATCAATTACAGCGACTAGGGAGATTTTTTTAATTATTTTTTTCTAGAGCTGTGATTGGCTAATGCTAGAACTTGTGCAACTGATATACACTCAAAGATATCAATATAATGGATAGTTTTTGAATATAATATTATAGGTATAAAATATACAACGAGCAAAGCATTGATCTGAGAGAAATCGATTGAAGTTTCACGTGCCTCAACTTTAATTTGAAAGATAACAGTATTGATACAGAAAATGATTATTTTGATGTTCCTATTCTCGATATCATTTTGAATTAATTAATGTGATAAGGCTCTATATTTTATATTAAGGAACGCTCTTTATTTTGATGTTCATGAACACTCTTCCAATATATTTAGTTTTACACAAATGGTAAATAAAATATTGTACATTTGATGTTACATCAAAAATGTGAAACAACATCAGTTAGTAGCTCTATACAGGGAACGAGTTTTACATTTTTGACAAATTAAAGCTTAAAATTTATTCATTATTGAACTTAAAATCTATTCATTGTTGAGCTTCATGTTATTAATCGACAGACATTACATTTTATTCATTCGAATTATTTCGCGCGACTATAAAACATGTTTCAGGCAACCAAGATCTTTTAGATACAGCAAGGCATCAACTAGTATTTTGGATACTTTGTCTCCTCCAGCATATCTTTGTTTCTTCATGCTTTCTAAAGGGCCAAAATCTAATATTTCTCGTACTAATACTTCTGGTGTGAGATATCCCAGTATGGTCGGTATAAAGATGCACATAACAACGAAACCAAAGAGAGCACCCCTCTTAAAATCGTTTAACAAAGCATTATACGAGTATTTCTCAATATCTTGAACGCCGGTGTTTAATAGATATTCTTTAAGCGAGTCATGGTAAGCCTGTATGAAATCGAAAAATTTTTCTTTTCTTATTTCATTTGAACAACATAAATGAAGATACGTGGAGAGATCAATGACAGGTGTCGAGTATCTAATAAGCGCGAAATCAATTAATATTGGAAGATGCTGTCCATTATCGTTTTCTGTCTTGAAGAGAATATTGTCCAATGTGAAATCACCGTGACACAACGTGGCTAGAGGTTCAAGCGGTTGTATCGTTTTTATCATCACTTCTTCAAACGCGTTTGAAAATAAGGCTTCCATCTTATCACAGAAAACTGCATCATGATCCTGGCTGCGAAGATATTCTACCACTCGTGATGTCTTAATGTTGCAAGCCAACTTGTATATATTTTCCGTTTTGTTTGTAAACCTAACTTCTTGAATTTTCGTTGTGATATCGAAGAATTTTTCCCATTGCATTTCCTTCATGACATATCCTTTACCATGAAATCGTCCCAGCTCGCGCATCGCCGCTAATGTGTATTCCACTGGAGGATCATATTTATATGGACAAGAATAATATCTTTGTTCGTTGACATTTTCTAAAGCAATTATAGAGTCGTTAGGCGGTCGTTCTTCAACATAAAAACATTTTGCATAATTATCTGGTCGGGCGTACATTTGATAGAACAAGATCTCGTTGCGAAATTGAAGATCAATACGAACTGTCTGATTAAAATCCAACATAGGCCTCTTCAGTATCATAGACAATTCTTCATTCTGTCTGTTTGTTTTATTCTCAAATTTTAAACGTATACGATATATGTTGGACATAATACAGTTGCCAGTAGATCCTAATAATTCGTACTGAGCTTTATGAATGTCCGATCCAAGATTCTCGATGATCTTTGGCATCATCTCGTCTATCCATCTTTGAACGTTTTCGTAAGATATTTTATTTTGAGTACTCAATTCGCACATGTTCGAATAATAATGAAATATATGTGAGTTACTAATTGAATTTATATCACTTCGGTAATTAGCGCGGCACTAATAGTGGCTTCTTGTAAAAGCTAACTAATTTTAGCGCAAGTAAAAACTACGAGTTTTATGAAGTTAACATGAAGATTGGCAAATAGATATCAATGCAACGCGGTACCACAAAAATAGTTTAACTGCGCATATCAACGCATACTTTTTATACAATAGAATGCTGAACAGTTTGTTATCAGCTGATGACCGTGTCTGATAATAATTGACATTTAAAATAATACGTGTGATACGGAATAGTTACAGATAGACGTTAGGCATTATAGTCAACTTGTAAACAATTGTTCCTTATATTTTTAAAACTAAATGCAACAGTTTTTTAAAAGATATATTTTTTAATGTAAATTACATATGTATTATAAATGACATGAAAAAGTAGAAATAAATGCATTAAAAAAATTCCATTTTTTAAATTTTAAATACTTACTATAATAAATAATATATCGGTTGTATATTCATGTGGACATAAACGTAATTCACGTAATATTATCATTCATTGACATTTTCTAAGGTGATTACTGACAATGAGTTGGAAGGTGATCGTTCTTCGAGGTAAAGCATTGCGATGTAGATGTAATATTCATTATAATATGATAATAAAATAATGCATAACAATACAGGATGGCCTATTGAAAACAAAACAGATCGAATATAAAAATGATTTTTCAAATAAAATGTAAAAAGATCAATTTTTATTTGAAAAGAGACATCTTTTGACGTATAATTCTTACCCTCAACTTTAACTCCCTAAACGGGGGTGCCTCTCTTCTTTAAAATCTTTAAAAAATTTTAAATGAAAAAGAGAGACCAAATGATATCTCATTAGAAAGGCCTTTCAATTTCCTATATTTCTATGTTTGATTTTTTTTAATTCGATCAATTTGTTTAGATGACAGAATGTCAAGTATGAAACAAACAAATCTTCATATCTTTTTTCTTTATTATCTATTGAATCAGTTCATTAATTATTTGCAAAGGTCTAAGACGCATATAATTGTGTAAGTTCCCGTGATAATTGTTCGAAATATTGACTACCATACAATAATAGAGATTTTGCTTGAAACATTGTTATATATTTTGGATTCTGAAACATTTATAGGATGATTTGATTCGGCATTCGTTAACGATAAATTAACGTAAATCTTCTAAAAATGTTAGCTATGTTGCATAAATTTTACTTTTTAAATGATCCTTACAAAAAGAAATTTAATGATGACAAATCTTGAGACTGAGAGACCATTCAATAGCGCCTTTTTTTCCAATCCAATGATTCGGAAAAACTTTATTCAAATACAAACAAGCCGTGCATAATGCGGAGGAGCTCCGTCTATCTCTTATTAAAATATTAATTGATTTTTAAAATAATGATCATCATTAAAAAATGATCATCAAATTATTACTATCCTACATTACTTAAACTTTATAAAAAATTAAACATATAATATAAATCATTCCCACTAAATCAGACAATTATCATTAATAATCTTAATCCTAAAACTCTCTCACAAACCCTAAAAATTAAATAATAAATAAAATAAAATTCTATACATACCTGTATCATAATAATATACATAATTCTTGAAATATTCACTACTAATAATTCAACTATTATTAATATAATTAATATATATTTATATATTAAAATCAATATTAAAGAAATCAATATTAAAGAAATCATAAAAACATATAAATTATAATATCTAAAAGAATATTT